CCTAGAGCCACAGGGCCTAAGGGAAGGGTAAGGTGCATCCAATCCCCTTCCAGTTACTTATCACATGGTGTCCTTACTGTGGCTGAATGAGATCTGCATCCCTGGATGTCACTGGAAAGCAAGACAGACTTTGCTTCAGGCAGTTCTGGCTACATAGACAATGAAATGATTTACCATACACGTGGTAAATCATACAAAATCTCGACACATACATGAGTCCTATTTCCCAGGAGAAGGTCCCAAGTGTCTCACACATGGGTCTCTCCATCTTAAATGGTTTGGATTGTTCCAAATCTGTTATACTAGAAATCACAAACATTTTCCCATTAAGTGATTTTCCCATTGTTTTTTTTTTTTTTTGGCAAAGTCACCAATGAATAAGATAAAAAATGCAAAATAGATTTCACTTCTACATGACTGTGTTCAGCACATTTCATCAAAGTGTGCATTCAGGGAATTTTATTTGTAGCAGGGAAGTGTAGTGCCCACATGTAGCAGGGAGGTGTATGTGTCCACATGAGTCTGTGGCTCTCTGGGAGGCATATATATATATATATATATATATAATGTCCTCCACCTATCCTTCTCCAAGACTGACTCCTACCAGGAGGGGATGTGGGAGACTGGCATCTTTAGACTTCTTCATCATGCCCTCAGGAACTTTTTCATCCTGTAAGATCACATCAGCTCTTGAACTCATACTTTATCAGTACCCTCTGTCCTTGGAGCACCTCTGAGCAGGGGTTGGAGAGGACAGCAACTTCCATTTAAGGAAAGTGTCCAGGCCAGCTGAATTCCTTTGGTTTTCTCCATCTGATCCCTGGCCCACCAAGGACTTTCCCTCATGTCCCCTTTTTCAACTGCCTTCCGTGGATTGTCTCTCCTTAGGTGTGTTGTTTATGTTAGATTGTAAGCTCCTTGAGGGCAGGGGCTTATCTTTTCTTTTTGTATTTTTATCCCCACTGCTTTAGTCCAGTGATTGGCACATATTAGGTGCTTAATAAATATTTATTGACTCATTGATGGATCAGAGACTAAGAGAGGGACCATTGCCCTAGGATTTTATATTCTGGACTCAAAGATCACTGCAGATGGCAACTGTAGCTATGAAATTAAAAGACACCTGCTCCTTGGAAAGAAAACCATAGCAAATATAGACAACACACTAAAAAAAATGGAGACATCACCTCACCAACAAAAGTCTGTATAGTCAAAGCTATGGTTTTTCCAGTAGCAACATATGGCTGTGAGAGTTGGACTATAAGGAAAGCTGGGTGCTGCAGAATTAATACTTTCAAATTGTGGTGCTGGAAAAGACTTTTGAGAGCCCTTTGAATAGCAGGAGATCAAATCAGTCAATACTTAAAGAAATTAATTCAGGCTATTCACTGGAAGGTCAAATATTGAAGCTGAAGCTCAAATACTTTGGCCACATAATAAGAAGATGGGGCTCGTTGAAAAAGACCCTAATGTTGGGAAAGTGAAGGCAAAAGGAAAAGGGGACAGGACAAGATGAAATGGATAGTTAGTATCATGGAAACAATGAAAATGAAATTGGACCTGGCATGCTATAATCCATGGGGTCACAAAGAGTTGGATACAACTGCACGACTGAACAACAACAAATGTTTTCCTGTTCTAGCTTCATTGTCCAGGAGGGAGTGGTGGATTTGTAGGGATCAAAAGAAAAAGGGCAGACAACCCAACTAAGTCCAAAAGGTACAAGGTTCTGCCATAAACAAAAACAAAACAACAACAACAACAACAATGAAAAAAAGAAGAGAAGTTAGTGGGAAACAAAGGAAAAGATAGTAGTAGCAGGGGCAGCTACAACAGAGGAAAGCTGCCCACTTCCTTGGAGGACTTGGGATGCTGAATAGTCCCCATATTGGGGTAGGACTATGAGAATAATGGAGTGGACACGGCCATGCTTGCTTGGCACATTTCTACCCACACCTATGAGTATGTATTCAATAAATATTTACTGACTGAATGAATCCAGCAAGGATAGAAGCTAGGACAAGCTTTTAGCGAGTGTAGCAGTTACAATCATCTTTTTTTTTTTAACATAGAAGATAGGATAGGGATAAGAACTGGATCTGTGATTTTAGTGGCGTGAGGAACCCCCTAGATGAAGAGACTCCTATTAAAGCAGATCAGTATTTCCTTTGCAACACATGTTATTAGAGAGTTGCTTCCTGAGAGGTAAAATAAGTTACTCAGGGTCACAAAGACAGTATATATTTAGAAAAAAGCCTTAAATGAAAGTCACCCTGGCTTCAGGTCAGACTCTATCTACCACACCATGATTCTTGTCCTTTTCAATACATTTGCCAATTCTTGGTCATCAAGTAGTGTTTGACTCAGCCTTAATGTGATTGATTAGTGTTTGTCTTTCTTTATATCTCCAGTGCTTACAACAGGGCCTAGCACATGTCATTGTTCAGTCATTTCAGTTATATCTAACTCTCCATGACCCCATTTGGCAGTTTTCTTGGCAACAATATAGCAGACATAGTAAATGCTTGATAAATGCTTTTTGACTTGATTCAATAACCTTAATTATTCTAGACATTATGTATTAATTAAGGGGGAAAGGGACAAGCATTTACCAGGGCCTACTGAATGCTAGCTAGGTGGCACAGTGGCTAAAGTGCCAGGTCTGGAGGAAAACTCATCTTCCTAAGTTTAAATCTAGTCTTAGACACTTACTAGCTATATGACCCTGGGCAAGTCACTTAATCTGTTTGCCTCAGTTTCCTTATCTGTAAAATGAACCGAAGAAGGAAATTATATCACTCTAGCATCTTTGCCAAGAGAACACCTAATTAGGTCACAAAGAGTCAGACACAACTGAAAAACAATGTTATATGATAGGCACCATATTATGTATTTTACAAATATTATTTCTTTATTTCCTCACAAGAAATCTGAGAGGCAAATGCCTCTCATTTTAAGTTTCAGTTTCAGTATTTGACCTTCTTTCTTTAAGTATTGACTGATTTGATCTCCTTTCTGTTCAAGGGACTCTCAAAAATCTTCCCCAGTACCACAATTTGAAAATGTCAATTCTGCAACACTCAGCTTTCCTTATAGTCCAGTTCTCACAGTCATATACTGCAGGCGCCATTCCCATTGTACGATTTAGACAAACAGGTCAAGTGAGCTAGTAAGAAAACAGATTTGAACTCAGGTCTTCCTAACTGCAAGCCTGGTATTCTATCCACTACAGCAAATGAAATGGGTGCTAAACTTGTCATAAGCACATTTGGACATATTTCTAGTGCTCGGTTCATTTAGAATCATTTAAAATGCCAAATAAGTTTTTCTCCTTTATAACAAAAATTGACATGAATCATCAGCTCAAATATGTAAGCAACTTGGTTTGGGCTAGAATGTTGAATATATGGAAGGAAGGAAGTAGGGAGCAAGACTGGAAAGGTAGAATGAGCTAAGTCATTGAATTTCTGACTGGATTTGTAGTAGGTTTCAGGAAGCCATTGAAAGGTTTTCAGCAGAGGAATAACAGTGATTGAGCCTCAGGAAAATTAATCAGGCTATGGGATGGAAAAAGGATGGATTGGAGTGGGGACAGGCTAAAAGTAGGGAGTCATCATCTCTGAGAGAGAAAAAAAAACCCTCTTGCCTTTTTATAATAACCTGATTTCTCATCTCCATCCAACTCAACCCCAGTGCTTATTCTGTGCTGCTGTCCTTTTGTCCATTTTAGCATTAACGAACTCTCCTTCATTCTACTTCTCTTTCTCTTACATTCAACTTCCTTGCACTCACAGCAACTTGGTTCTCTCCACATTTAATAATAATGATAACAACAACTATCCTTTTCATATAACTTTAAGGTTTGCAAAGTACTTTTCAAATATTAATGTATTTTATCCTCACAACAACCCCAGGAAGTAGGTGCTATTATTATCGTAATTTTACAGATAAAAAAAAAAACTGATATAGGCAGAAGTTAAATAACTTGCCCAGGGCCACACATCATAAGTGTTTGAGGCCTGATTTGAACTCAAGTCTTCCTGACTACAACTCCAGTGTTCCATACACTATGCCACCTAGCTGTATCAGTTCCTTTCAGATCAAAAGCCATTGAATTTCTGGCTATTGGGTGGCCTATACTGGGTATTCCATCTTTCATGCCCCTAAACACACTGGACTAATAGGGAAAGTAGGCATCTTCTTAGTTTCTCATAAAATAAAAAATTATCTCTGTTAACAATTTTAAAACATTTATCTTCGATCCTGACCCCAACAAACCTGAACTTAATGGAAGATTTGACATGGAGCCTTTGACATTTTACATAGCAGATCTTGACAAGAGACAAGAGAAATATAAGATACCAAAGACTAATTGCAAGGGACTCAATAAGGACAGACTATTTACCTTTTATGTGGGTAAAATGTAAAATGTATGTCCAAAATTGTTATTAGTAATTGATTATAGTTATTAGTTATATTATTATTATTATTAGTTATATGTTATTAGTAATAGATTATAAGAAAGATTGGGGTAGACCTGAGTATGATGTGACTTTAAAAAGTAAACAGTTTAGGAACAACTAATGTTAAGCTAATTAAAGTGTAATTATTTTATGCAAATGAGTTGTGAAAGGAAGAACTGATACAGAGGAGTTAGATGGGGAAGGAGGGCTGTTAGTTCTGGAAACATAATTTCATCAGGAGTGTGTTCAAGAGGGAGCAATACACACATACGTACATACATAGATACATACATACATACATATATATATATATATATATATGTATACACGTAAGAGTATTAAAGTCTTCTAAATTCAGAAAGAAAACACTAAGGAGATAGGGATGGGAGAGAAGATAAGGGAGGGATCTCTAGAGGGGAGGTTGAGGGAATAGGTTAAAGGAGGAGTGTAGAAGGGTGTTTATATTAATGGGAATGGGAAGACAAGGGAGTGATCTTTGGGAGGATAATGGATTGTTAGACAGGAGGAGGAGGGAATAAGTTAAATGGGGGGTATAGAAGGGTATTTAAATTTAAGGGAATGGGAGGATAAGTGAGGAATCCTTGGAGGGGAGTAGTTTAAGTAGTAAGAAGGTAGAAGTAAAGTAGAAGAGTTGGGAGGGATAGGAAATAAGAGATACACACAAACATAAAAACAAAGATTAGAAGTAGAATTTGTTAGGAAAAGTGTATGTCTATATTTACGCATGTATGTATATATGTATGTATGTGGGCATATATATATGTATGTGGGTATCTACGTGTGTGTGTGTGTGTGTGTGTGTGTGTGTGTGTGTGTGTGTGTTGAAGCTTTCTGAGGAGTGGGAGGAGGAAGGGGAAAAAAGAACAAAGTGGCAGCTAGGTGGCACAGTGGACAGAGCACCAGCCTTGGAGTCAGGAGTTCAAAATTCAGCTTTAGATACTTGACACTTAACTAGCTGTGTGATTCTAGGCAAGTCACTTAACTCCAATTGCCTCAACAAAAAATATTTTCCTATCATCATTCCTCAGCATGTAAACATCAAATTAGTATATCTTTGGATTGTATTGATTTTAAAAATTGTTGTCATCTCCTTCTTTTACAGAAACCTGAGTGTTTAATTACAGCAAGACAAAAGCCCTTTAATAATATTTCTCTGCCATCACCACTGTATGTGTATGTCAGTGTGAACATCAATTTTTTAAATTAAGCAAAACAAGTGTAATTTTGTAAACTAAAGCTAATATTTATTTGAGAAATTGTTAGTAATATTTATTTATATTTTAGGACAAAAATATTTTTCAGTTATGGATAAGTGCCTAAATTTAGACAGAAGAGGTAAAAACACTGATGACAACACCTAGAGTCTTAGCTACTAGGTTATAATACACCTAAATTGACAAAAAAAAAAAAAGAAAATGTGCCAAATCATTTTTGCAATATGCATTTACTTCTAACAATGATGATAGTGTGGAACAATCTCTTTGCTTAGTTTGTAATGGAGTTTTGGCTGTGGAGAGCATGAAACCAGACAAACTAAAATGACATCTTAATACCAAGCATACAGTGTACTGCAATAAACCAAAGGAAAATTTTAAATTAGTTTTAAAATCTTCAAATAAAGAAAAAAAAATGTTTTGAGAAATGTATTACTGTCAACAAAAAGTATTTACTTGCATCTTATGAAACTTCTTATTTAATTACAAAAACTAAAAAGCCCTATGTGACAAGAGAAAATCTCTGCTATTAAAATGTCAAGTTTATAGGCTAATGTGGAAATAGGTTTAATATGACTGTGCATGTATAGCCCATACCAGATTGTATGCCATCTTGGGGAGGCAGGAGAGGAGGGAGGCAGAAAATTTAGAACTCAAAATCTCATAAAAGTGATTGCTGATAATTTAAAATTAATTAATTAATTTAAAAAATAAATAGTTAATGGGAAAAAGTATGGAGATGAAATTCATAAAATTCCTTTATTGAATAATACTGTTTCCAAAAGAATTTCTGAAATTTATAATGACCAATTTCAGCAGCTTATTACAAGGCTTAAGGCAGTCCAAAGTTTGCAATTCAGTTAGAGGAACAACTGATATTTCATTCTTCTTCTTCTTTTTAAGGCAAGTGGGGTTAAGTGACTTGCCCAGGGTCACACAGCTATTAAGTGTCTGAGACCAGATTTGAGCTTGGGTCCTCCTGACTCCAGGGCTGTTGCTCTGTGCACTACGTAGCAACTGATATTTCTAACATGGCACAGTTGCTATTTTATGTAAGATATGTTTATGAAGAAAGCCTACATGACAGATGTTTTGTTGCGCTTTGGAAGGGCACACAAGAGAGGAAGATACAGATCTTAAAGTCAATGAATTTTTCACAAACAAAGGTTGACAGTGGAAGAATTGCATCAGAGTCTGTACAGATAGTGCTGGAGCCATGATGGGCAACAATGTTGGATTTGTAGCAAAAGTTAAAGCTGGTGGCAATGAACATATCACTTTTACTCACTGGATGATCCACTGGGAGGCATTCATAGCCCCAAAAAATTACCAGAGTTAGATGTTGTGCTTCACCATACTGTCGAAATCATTATCTTCATTAAAAGTCATGTCCTTGGGGCAGCTAGGTGGTGCAGTGGATAGAGCTCCAGCTTTGGAGTCCGGAGGACCTGAGTTTAAATCTGGCCTCAGACACTTGACACTTACTAGCTGTGTGACCCTGGGCAAGTAACTTAACCCCAATTGCCTAACCAAAAAAAAAAAAAGTCATGCCCTTAACAGTCATTTGTTTTCAAACTTTGCAAAGACATGAACTCTGATTACAAAAGCTTATTTCCACATACAGAGATAAAGTGGCTCTCAAGAGTGTGAAGTTTAAAACGATTACTGAAATTGAAAGATGAGAAAAAAAGAAATTGAAAAATGAAGTTGTTATATTTTTGACTGAGCAGAAATCTGATTTTGTTAATTTTTTTCATAATGATTTGTGGCTTTCAAAACTGTTATTAATCAGGTATTTTGCAAAACTCAGTGATTTAAACATGTTGCTTCAAGGAAAAATTGTAACATATTTATGTTAAAATTAAAGTTGAAAGTTTAACTAAAAAAAGTTAACATATGGAGAAATAGGGTGGGAAATTGTTCTTCGGAAATGTTTGCAGCTACAGATGATTTTATAATTGAAAATAACTTTCCCAAAGATTTAATTATAAGAGTTATAATTGACCATCTGAAGTGCCTGGAAACACAGTTTCAGAAATACTTGCTTTCAAATTTTGATTCTAAAAAACTAAGTTGGGTTCATAAACCAAACTCAATTGAAACAAAAAACATCAGTCATCTACCATTAAAAATTCAAGAACAATTTGCGAAGTTATCAAGAGACACAGGTTTAAAACTTGAGTTTCCTAAAAAAATCATTAAATGAATTTTGGCTTGGGATTAAGATAGAATTTCCAACGATTTCTGAAATGGTCCGAAACATATTTATGCCATTTTGTTCTATGTATTTATGCAAAGCAATGTTCTCAGCACTGACAATTATAAAATCAAAACATCAATCAACCCTGAAAACGTTGAAGATGTTTTGATTTTATAATTGTCCTGCAGTACCAAATATAACACCAAGATTTAATTCTCTGTGTAAAAATAAACAAGCACATCCATCTCATTAGTACACGAGTTTCAATTTGGCTTTATTAAATGGTAAAATTATATGTATAACAAAGAACTGTTTTAAAATAAATTCTTTATGATTTATTATCGGTAAATATTTAATTTGCATACCTATTTTATATATCCAGGGTCGTATAAAAATTTCTCGGGTGAAAAGGGGTCACGAGTAGAAAAAGTTTAAGAAGCCTGTGTTAAAACATGGAATCTTTAGTCTATGTTGTTAGACATGTTTGACTCTTTGTGACCCCTTTTTTAATTTTCTTGGCAAAGATAGTAGAGTGGTTTGCCATTTCTTTCTCCAGCTCATTTTACAGATGAAAAAAAAAACTGAGGCAAAGAGGGTTAAGTGACTTACCCAGGGTCACACAGCCTGCAAATGTTTGAGGTCGGATTTGAACTCAAATCCTCCTGACTCCAAGCCAGGATTCTATCCACTGTTTCACCTAGCTGCCCTTGCCTTTAGCATAAACACCCCTCAAAGAAGCATAACTATGGTGCCAAAATAGCTGGGATAATAGGAGGCAATATAGCTGCAAGTTAGAAGTAGATAGTAAGTGTTGTAACAGCATAACAGAGGCTTCATTTGGGCCCTTGCTCTGCTGTAAGAAATAATTCAGGCAATGGGAACCTTGGCTGTGGGAAACAGCTTAGGCTGATGCTTTCTAGTGGGGCCAAACAGGGCTGTAATTTTTACACTAGTGTGTAGTCGCCATTCAAACAAACCATGGGAGGAGGAAAGCAGAGAAAGCAATGGTATGAATCATGCTCTCTGGAGGAAAAGCCGATCCTGTGGCTTCCTATTATAACTAATTACTCTTAATATCTATTCCAATCTTGATACCTATCCTAGGTTTTAAGCTATGATGTTTCTACTCTGCTGAAAGACTGTGCACATGCTAGCTTTCTCTAAATTTGACATCCGTGGCAAAACCCAGGTCATTCTATCTGAGCCATACTTCTGGTTTCAGATCAAAGAATCCTGTCATTTATGGAAATCAGCTATACCTAGCCATGAGAGAGTGTTTGGTGGAATAGGATACACTTAGCTAGAGCTAGAAAGAGGTGACTGGACGAGGCTAGATGGGGTAGTACAGAGATTATCAGTTAGGTGCCATTAGCTTCGGTCTTAGGTTTCCTTCCTTCATAATCATTGTGGGGTATGTGTGTGTGTGTGGTGTGTGTGTGTATATGTGTGTGTGTGTGTGTTCCTAAGATTCATCCAGGAACATGGATCATGCTACCCCAGGGTACACACACATTGCGTCAGAAGAATGCTGCAATAGTAGACAACCAACCAGTCTCTGAATGGTACTAGCTGAAAATCTGTACTCATTTGTATGTACTTAATAAGGACAATAGACGTGGAGCTTAAATGACATAGTGGAAATTTCTGGGCTTTGTGACACAATTCTCTTCTGATCTAACTGCTCCTTTTCCTTTATTTGGGTCTATGGATGTTCCCCAAGCCTCTATTCTGTGCCCTCCTTTCTTTTCTCTCTATATCCTCTCTCAATCATTTTATCACCTCCCAGGAGTTTAATTATTACCTCTATGCTGATGACTCCTTGGTCTATATACACAGCTTAAGTCTCTGCCTTCAACTTTATTTCTGCATCACCAATTGCCTATTGGAGATAGCAAAGTGGATATCCCAGAGATTCATCAAACTCAGTATGTCCAAAACATAATTCGTTATCTTCCTTCACACCTCTCCTACCTCCCCACACACATATTCCTCTTCCAACCTCCAGAATTTCTGGAGAATACACCACTATTCTTCTCTTTCCCAAGGTTTATGACCTCAGTATTATTCTTAACTCCTCACCTTCTTTTGTCCAACATATCCAACTAGTTATCAAATCTTGCTGTTTCTATCTCCATATCTCTCATATTTGACTCATCACCATTCACACAACAGTTGCTTTATTTTAAGACCTCATCATCTCTCA